TGAGGTGGGGTGGGGGTGGGGGTGGGGGAGGGGAGGGGGCGGGAACAGAGCGCTTTGTCCTGTCCCAGCCTGTGTGGGGCCTGAACTAGAGCAGCTGCCGCTCCTCTGAGGGGACAGGAGGCCCGTGAGGAGAGGCCTGGGCTGCTGGGGAGTGGCGAGGGGACCCGGTGCTCACAGCTGAGCGGGCGCGGGTGTCAAGGGCCAGAGCGTCGGCCGCGCCAGCTCCCCCGACGCCCACCAGCCGTGGCCCGGCCCGGCGCCTGGAACTGACCCTGACAAAGTGCGGGCGCACCCTCCCGACGCCCGCCCTCTCCGGTCAGGCAGGCACCACGTGTCCCCGGCTGTCACGACACAGTCACAGGGCCACCCCCGGCCAGTCGCAAGTGGCGACGCGACCTGCCTCTCGCCTTCGGGAGCCACACGACCTCCCTCACGGCCCCGCGTGACAGGGTTAAACCCTCCGGTCCTGCTGGAGTCGGTGGTGACCAGAGGGGCAGGGTGAAGGCGAGGACTGGCCGCCCCCGCCGGCACCGACTGGACGCCGCCCCGGCCGGGCCTGAGCAGCACTCGGCAGCCGTCGAGCCGCCGCCCGTGTTCCTTCTCCCGGGCTGCTGTGCCACGGCCAGCGCGGCCGGAGTGAAAAGGCGCGCGGACGTCCCGCAGAGCGGCCGTGGCCGAGCCCTGTGCGAGGTCACACGCCACGTCGCTGCCGGCCGCTAGGAGGTTGATGCCGGGGACGCACGGGCTCCGGGGCTCGCGGGAGGGTCTCGGGGGCCGCGCAGCCGCAGAGGCCACGCGCTCGCGCCCGCCCCGCGCTGGGCAGTGGAGGGGGACGTGGCCGCCTGGACAGTGCCGGAATCGAGCCACACACCGGCCACGTGTCGAGGCAGGGGACGCTGGGGAGATGACCCCGAGGGGCCTGCTCTGTAGGAGCACTGGCCACAGGCAGAGCGCTTCCCAGCCTCACAACCATGGGCCGGACACGGGGCCGGTCACGCGCTCGGGGCGGCCGGCGCAGAGAGCACAGAGGGTCCCCTGCCGCGGACACAAGGAGCCCCAGCCGGCCACACCGCGGTCCTCCCGGCGTCCAGGTGCTGCTCCTGGCGGCGAAAGCCCCGGGCGCCGATAGCCCCCGGCCTCGGGGCACCTCCAGTGTCCCTTCCCCGCCCCGCACCTGGGCCCAGAGGCATCCTCCCCACGGGCACCCACCGCCCCCACAGGGCACCCCAGAGCAGAGGCGCCTCCTGGGCCGGTCAGGAGCCCAGCCGCAGCCGCAGCCCCGAGGGTCCCCACACCCCCTCCTCACGGCTCGGCTGTGAGCAGCAGAGCACTGAGCACAGGGCCACCCAGCTCCACAGCAGGCCCGGGGGCCTGATACGTTCAGACCAGTTAGCCGGCCGCCCAGCTTCCTAACGGTTCCGCGGCTCTGGGAGGGGACAGATGGACACGGGCACAGGAAGGCAGGGGCAGGGCGCGGGCGGCGGGCACGGAGCACCGGGGCGGCCGCGGCCCCAGCCTTACCTGCGGAGTACGGCTCCTGCTTCTCGGGGTCCGTGAACTCCTGCCGCTCGTACTTGGCCCGGATCCACTGCTCCCGCAGGAGGCTGGTCGAGGGGAGAGGAAGTCTGGCCCCGGTCCGGCCGGTGCCACGGGGACGCGCCCCGAGCCGGCCTGCGGGCCGGCTCCTGGAAGAACCACTGGTCAGGGGGCCTTGAGCATGTCCCCCGGCCTCGCAGAAGGCAGAGCTGGGCGCCCAACTTTGAGTTTTAAAACTGTTTGTGAATCAGTTTTAACAATACCTCTGCTCTCTAAAAATTGAGATATAATTCATATACTATCACCCATTTAAAGTGTTCAACTCAGTGGTTCATAGCATATTCACAAGGTGTGCAGCCACCACCACTGTCAAGTTCCAGAACATTCCATCAGAAACCTGTAGCCCCGGCCCCCCGAACCACAAGCCCCCTTCTGGCCTCCGTATCCCCTGGTCCCCCATCGGGAGGTGGCGCTGGCCCGGAGGCAGCAGCTCGGGCTCTGGCAGCCGGGCAGGCCCAGGAGGTTTGCTCTGCGGGGCACCCCAACCACACAGCCCTCTGGGCCCCTCTGCCTCTGCCACAGCTGTCCTCACAGGTCAGGCATCCCGCGAGCCCTGCCTGCCACTTGGGACCCAGGCTGCTCCCCATGGTCTGTACCCCACAGGCAGCCACGTGGACACACAGCACCTGTGCCCTCAAACCCCTGCCCGGCCCCGCCCTCCTCCCTCCAGTGCCCACGAGACCCTCCGCGCCCCCCGGTGGACACGACCCCCTCTGAGCTAGCAGCCTCCTCCCCGCTCCCCCGCTCGGCCCTCCGCACCCCCGCGTCCACCACACATCCAGCTCTCGGGCGGGGCGTGAGGTGGCATCACCCTGTGAGCTGAGGTGCCAAGACCCCGACCCCAGACAGCCGCCATGGCCTTGGTTTCTCTCCGACTCACACAAATTCAAACCGACCCCACGGCAGACGTGCCCTGGGCCGTGGCACGGGCGTCCCTCCCTCTCTGGGCGACGCAGGCCCTGGGCTGCCAGCCCCAGGCCGAGGGTGGGCCTGGCCTCACGCTTCCTCGTCCCCAGGCAGGCACAGGGACCAGGCGGGACGGGAACCCTCTGGCTTCACGCCGGCCGCGGTCAGCCAGGACGCTGTGCCCGGCGCCAGGCGCGCCGGGGCCGGTCCACTCCCCACAGCAGCGCCCACCCTCGGCGCAGGCTCTGGGGACCCCAGCCCTGGGGTGTGCGTGAGTATCCTGGGCTGCCATGACACGTTACCGCACACGGGCCACTTCCCTCAGCCGGGACCCCTGGTGGCCACGGTCCCCCCGCTCCGGGGCCGCCGGCCTCCAGGTGTGCGGCCGCACGCTTCGGTCCGCCGCCTCCTCGCGCGGCCTCCGCCCTGGGCGTCCGTGGGTGACCCTCTCCCGCCTCCTACGAGGACACCGGCACTGGACTCCGGGCTCCCCCCAAACCCAGCCCGGCCCATTCGAGATTCTCCACTCCATCCGCGAACGAGGCCCCCTCACGGCCTGGGTGACAATGTGGCCTGTCTGTGGGGGACGCCCGCACCCCGCCTGGCAGGGCATCAGCCCCTCCCGCCCCGTTTCTTGTCTGTAACACCAGGGCCTCTCAGGCCTGGCACAGATGCTTCCAGAAGCAGCCGCAGGAGGGCCGGGAAGCGAGCATGACAGGTGCGGGGGTGGGAGGTAGTCCTCATCCTGTTTGGAAGAGTTGTCCAGAGCCCCTAGGTCACCGTGGGGCAGGCCTCACAGCCCCCGCCACCCCCCTTAGGGGCTTGGGGTCAAGGTGGGTCCCCCTCGACCCAGAGCAGACTAGGGGCTGGGACTGGTGCGGGCAGCTACTGCTTCCCAGAGCTGGGAGGGCAGGGGGTGGCCAGGTGTGTAGGGTGACCGACTCCCACACTGCCCCCCGTGGGCATCTGCTGAAGTGGCCCCGTCTCCCTCGGCTGCCCCCCGTCAGTCTGGACCCGACCACCCGTCCTGGACGTCTTCCCACCCCCACCCGTTCCAGCATCCTCCGAGTGGAGAGTCTCAGGACACCCTGCCCGGAGGTCAGGGCCGCTGTGCCTCCTGGGGAGGTGACCCCGTGGCACCCCGGGTTTCCTTGCTCCCCAGTGAGCAGGGAGCCCGGGCGGTTCCTTTCGACTCTCGAAGCACAGTGGGGACACAGGGTCCTTATGCTCGGCCCCACAGGCCATGTCACCACCCTCGTCTCCGTCCGCCCTGTGCCCCGGGACCCCCTCGTCCATCCGTGTGATTCTGAGGCTGTTATGGGTTGAACTGTGTCCCTCTCGCCCAATCTCACACTGGATCCCCAAACCCCAGGCCCTCGGATTGGCCCTAACTCGGAAATTGATGGTCGCAGACTCGTAAGTGAAGACAGGGTGGGGTCATCCCAGGCAGGGTGGACCCCGACCTCGTGTCCTTACAGACGGGAAACCTGGACGCAGGGCGTGGAGGGCCAGCCGTGCGAGGCCGCGGGAGAAGGCGGTGTCCACACGCCCAAGAGGGGCCAGGACCGGCCTGTGCTCACAGCCTCCTGGACCGGGGACAATGGACTCTGTCCTGTGAGCTGCTGCTCTGTGGTGCTTTGTCCCCAAGGCCGTAGGAAGCAGCACAGCACACTCCTCACAGCAGGGACGCTGCCCACTGGGGGCCCTGAGGGAGCCTTTGTGCTCCGGGGCAGCGTCCGAGCCTTGGTGGCACCAGGCCCGGGGCTCCTATGAGAATCTAGCGCCTGAGGATCTGAGGCGGAGCCGAGGCGGTGATGCCGGCGCTGGGCGCGGCTGCAGATGCAGAGGGAGCTTCGCTCACTCGCCCACTGCTCACCTCCTGCTGTGCGGCCCGGTTCCTCACAGGCCACTGACCAGTACTGGCCCCCGGCCCAGGGGTTCGGGACCCCTGCCCTAGAACACCCCTGGGGCCCGGGGAGAGGGGCACCAAGTGGCCACAGCTGCCAGGAAGCTGGGGCTGCTCACCGCGCCTCTGAGCCAGGGCCCTGCCCGCTCGCCCGGGTCACAGGAAGTGAGCGGGGACTGGTGTGACTGCCTCTCCCCACGTCAGGCTTGACACTCAGGGCACTGGGGTGATACAGGAAGTTTGAGCCCCGGCCACCCCGAGGAACCAGCCAGCTAAAGAGGACCCTGACACGGGACCCCCAGAGCCTCAGACGCGGGGAGGGCAGGGACCGCCGCGTCCAGGGGACTCGCTCTGGGCCAGCTCGGCCACAGGCCTCCCCTCGCCTCGTTCCGTCCCCATGACGCCCTGGTGCCAGGCGGCGCCCCGCCCAGTCTACAGCTGGGGACCCGCCGAGGGCCGCTGCAGGTCTGTCCTGCACAGAGCCCCACGAAGTCTGCACCGCGGGGGGCCGCGCCCCACACCGCACACCTGCTACCATCCTCACCCCTCTGCAGGACACAGGCTTCGCGCCCGCACCCACCTGTGCCACGCACAGCACCGCAGGGAGCCCGGACACCCCCACGCCCCAGGCCTCCGCCGCCTGGCAGGGCTCCTCGGGGCCTGGCCTGAGTGTCTGCTGCGTGTGGGGACATGTCAGGCTGGCTCCTTAGAACCTTCACCCAGTGGAGGCTTCTGGAAGGCAGGGCCTGCCTGGGAGACGCCCGGTCATCTGGGGCGGGGCCCTGACCACACACGCCGCAGGGGGCATGTCTCAGGGACCAGGACGTCAAGGACCTGCTGAGCATACTACAGGGACACAGGCTGGTGGGCCAGTCTGCCCCATGTCACAGGCTCGGACGGCGGGAGACACGGGCTCACAGAGCAGCTTGCGGTGCGGGGAGACCGTCACATCTCAGGGGGAGTTGCCTGGCCTTGCCGGTTCACAGTGAGACCTGGGGCCCCGGGTCCCCCCAGGAGCCCGGGAGCCCAGGCCCCAGCCCGAGCTGCTAACAGCAAACCGTCTCCCTTCCCTGGCCCTGGCCCCATGCTGAGAACCAAATCCAGGCGGGGCAGTCGGTGCCCCGGGGTGGCGGGGGGTGGGACCCAGGTGCCCGCATGGCGCGGCCCCTGCCCTTGCCCTGCCCTCTGGCCAGGAGGGACACCAGGCCCCCCACGCTGCTTCCCGGCACCTGACGGGGCCTCGGACACTCACTGGCAGTCGGAGGGCGTGGGCCGGTAGTAGAAGGGCGGGACGCTGGACTCGAACGTGGCCTTTGCAGCGCTGTTCCCCTGGGAGGCCATGAGCTGCAAGAGAGAGGACGCGGTCAGCGGTCAGTGCACCTGAAGGCCGGCCGCCGACCCCGGCCCCGACGGACGGGAAGTCCCACCCTCCTGTCCAGGGAATGTCGGGAGGGACGGACCTGCCCCGCCCCTGCAGGCGGGGGCCCTGGAGAGGCTGCAGAGGGGGTCACGTCCTCAGGGCGGTGTCCCAGGTGCAGCCCACAGCCGCCCGAGACGGCAGGCGCCCTGCTGTCCCCCGGCAGAAACGCCCCGTGGCCTGGCTTCTCACTCAGGGGACCCGTGATGTGTGCCAGACACAGGGAGCGCCCTGGAGGCAGGCCCGAGAGCCAGGCCAGCCAGGCCAGCAGAAGCTGACGGCCCTCGAGGCAGACAGACTGCAGACACCATCGATGTGATTCCGAGCAGGAAACCACACGGATGGAAAGGAACGTGTTGGGGAGGGGGTGTGCAGGTGACAGGGAGGGGCTCTCCAGGAGGGGACACGCCAGGTGCCCCGGCAGGAAACAGCATGTGCAAAGGCCCTGCGGCTGGGGCGTGCCCGACGTGCGGGAGATGCCCCGAGCCGTGGCCGGGGGCGCGGGGAGCCCTGCGGTGCCCGGCCACAGAGGCCTCGAGACAGGGACGAGGGTAGGATCCTTGTGTTTTAAGCCTGCTGCTCCCTGATGCCCTGGGGGAGACCCCCCCAAACTCAGCCTGCTTCGAAGACCATGATGACATGGGACGCAAAAGGACCAACTGAAAAAGCCACAAATAAGACATTTTGGCAAAAGGCTACTGCCAAATTAGAGTTCGACAGTCGATCCCTTTTCTGCACGAAACGCCGATCTGCCAGCAGGTGTGACGGAGGGGAACAGTGGGTACGGCAGGGACGGGCGACCTGCCTCAGAGCCAGCTGACGAGAAGGGTTCAGTTTCACAGAGGAAAACTGTGCCCGAGGCAGCGACGAACCGAGAACAGACACGCGACCCCAGGTGGGGCGGGGTGGACATTCTGCCCCCACGCGAACCCGTCGTCGGCACGAGTCTCCAAAACAAAGGAAAAAAGAGAACTAAAAACTTTTTTGACGTAGTAATGATTCTGAAGTTCATTGTAAAATTAAGAAGCAAAAATATCCTAGAAAATGCTGAAAACGAGGGCTCATCCTACCGGATACTGAAGCCTGTTACGGCCACGGGGAGAAGCAGGCACGGAGCAGAGCCGGGCGGCGCGGGAACAGCCCGGCGGAGCTGACGTCCCGCACGGGGCAGAGCCCGTGACACCGGTGACCGCGCAGCGGTGGGGAGACATCCATTGTTTGATGACCAACCAGTTGGTCATTAACGGGATCAGGAAACAGAAACCATCAGAGAAAAGCAGAGCCGGAGACGCCTTCCAGCGAAATAGAAGATTTAATGTCCAAAACGAAACGGCAGGAGTGGTAGATAAAAACCACGGGACGATCAGAAGAAGAATCGCGGGAGAACGGAGAAGATTCTGTGACGCCGGGAGATGGCCCCTGAGCTCCGACGCCGAACGCACCGGTGGCAGACGGGTCCCTTCAGAGGCGAAGCTTCCACGCCGCCCCGGACACCGCCGAGAAGTGAGGGGGCGAAGCCCACAGGGAGGCCGCGCGCCGTGGGATTCCGTTCGCACGGAACGTCCAGACCAGGCGGATGGGTCCACGGGGACCGGAGGCAGACGGGTGGTTTCTGGGGGCGGGGGCCCCCTCAGAGGGCATGGACATGTTCTGGATCCAGGCCGGGGGTGGCTACAGTACACTGAACGTGCCAAATGCCACTGAATCATTCGCTTTGAAATGATTCATGGTACGTCATGTGAACGTCACCTCGATAATAAAAGATACGTGGACGGCTCCTTAAGAACGTGAACTGCACTTTTTGTATTTGAAAAACGTAATTGAGAAAAGAAAACTACATGACAGCCACAGAGGGAGAGAAAACATTCGCAAACGACGCTCCAACGTGGGCCTCGTGTGCGGGACGAGGGACCCTCGACGATAAAAACTGACTCGGCAACGAGAGGCCAGCGCGTTTTAAAAGCGGGTGAAGGATCTGAACACGCACGTCTCCAAAGCAGACGCGACGGGCACCTGCGAAGCTGCTCGACAGCATCGGCCACCGAAAGGCACCTCACGCCCACAGGGCACGCCAGGTCCCGCTCGCAGCCGCCGAGATCAAAGGCGGCAGCACGTGCGGGACGAGGACGGGGCACGGAGAGACCGGAACCCTCACGTGCTGCGGGGGGCGCGTCGCCGCCCCGGGAAAACAGCCTGGCCGTTCCGCGCATGTCAGAGTCACCGCGAGGCCCCAGAGAGGTGGCCACGCGCCCACGCGGACGCCCGCACACGCGTGCTCACGGCAGCAGTCCGCGCAGTGGCGGGGTGGGGGGTACCCCGAGTGTCTGCGAACTGCGGTGGGCACATGAAATGCGGCCAGGAGAGGGACGAAGCACGGACACCTGCTGTGACGCCATGAGTCATCTGTGAGGGGACGGGCACGGACGGCCACAGCCGCGGGCTCCGCCGCCATGACGTGC